GATCTCGATGTACTCATAATAATTCATTACATGCATTACTTTTTCAGCTTCCCATTTTCTCCCTTATTATTAAGATCACCAACTCATATCCCTAGCCTTATTTGGGGATCAATCTTTGTGCATTGTGGTGGAATAATTAAATCATATAGCACATTCATATTTCTAGATGAAAATTATTTGGTTCCTGACCCTGAACCGATTGTGATAGGGAGAACTTATCATAACTTGGCTAGATGCGTACAAGTGTTGTTGTATATTAAATAATACATCATATACCAAAATTTATTTTGGCAATTTTGTTCTCATAACCCATCGTTTAGATATAATTGGAGGCATACAATTTCTGCTAAACCAATTTGGATTTAAACCAGTATTATCAAGATAAATCATCATAATTTATATTCTGGAACTGTGCTCTAATAATTTGAGCAATCAATCTTGCAAAAGCCAAACTACAAGTTGATAACAAATGCACATGTGACCATATAATAGATGCATCTATTAAAATCATATAATAGTAAACGGTCCACATGGAAGGTGACTCGGCCCATATATTTATCACCTTTTATTCGTTCCAGATTTCAAAGGATTCAATCCCAACCTTAACTGGTATATCATGAGAATAAGCAGCACAAGAAAATTCTTGAAGAATCTTATATTTCTTCAATATATGCCAATATAATTCTCAATTAATTTTTTCGCATCATAATTGAACCGAGATGGTCAACCGGTCATGCCAACTAATATTTATTTCAGTAAACCTCTAGTTTACTTGTGGCTTGTGATTGCATCATCATGCTTATACTTGTATAGTACAAATAGAAGAAAAGTCATGTAACCTTTCATATTTACCCGGTATGATTATAGAGATATTCAATCTTCTTTTCATTTATAGTCTCAATATGCCAACCATTTTGGCTAATATATTTGTAAATCAAAATATTTCTTTTGATACTTACTACAATATTAATGTCATGAACAATTTAATTCATCCGGGTAGTAACAAATTAGTTCTTTCAGAGCTCTTAACTGCTTTTGTACTACAAGATCTTTTGTCACACCATCCATATAATGAATGTCTCCTTCACAAAGAGAATCATATCATACTAATTGTCATGTTCAAAATCATCACAAGCAAAATAATTTCTTGCTTTAATTTTGCTTTTAATAACTTTCATAAGGCATGACAAAATATTTTTTTGGCGTATCACATGCATGCGACCAATGATATATTCACGTAACTATACAATAATATTCATTATCTTTCCTTGTCTCAAACTTCCCTTAGAGGTGAGTTGTAGTATTTATCCAACTATGCACAAGTACATTATTATGCATAATCTTTATCATATATATATTTCCACATTCACTTTCAGGAATGAGTATGCAATCTCAATGTTTATCACAAGTCACATTCTCTTCAAAGAATTTCTCTCTTTTATAATTACCATAGTGATAACTATTATTATTTTGGCCTTTCACACACCCGCATTCATTGGTCAACCACTTATCTTTATTTAGACTTATCATGCACTGCTATCACATTCACTTCAAGAATGGAGCAAATCAAGTGGGACAAGCTTCATGCTTTTTCATGAAAATTACATTATTTTTTCTTTAGTTATTATTATTATTATCAATATGGTGCATTAGGACTCAAACCCAATGATTTACCCATATAAAGGCATGTTAGGCCATAATGTGTTGATAGATAATGCGTTGGCATAACATGATGTATTTTATTAGGATATATGCCAATTTTGCTTTCAATGAAATACATCGTGTTATGGTAAAAATATTATTACTAAATTACCTTAATAATTATCTATTGGAATATTATACATTGGATATACATTGGAATATTATCTTTGTCCTATAAGAGATGTAGCAAATAAAGATATACCTTTTCAGTTCTTTATTTCACTGGATACAATTGAAAAAAATATTTTTACTAAACACTGCACATAAAGTTAATGCAAAGATATGAAAGTATGAATGTGTTTAGATGGATGTAAAACTTATCTTTGTATTATCATTCAAGACATTTTTTATTGTACTTGATTTCATTGCCTGCTTATAATTTACATAGTCTTGACGTAAAAGATCATGAAATGAGCAATTCGTGCTGATAACGTGTTATAAAATAAAAGCAACTTAGTAAAACATGAACAAGACATGTTGTTATGAAATAAAAGCAATTTAGTAAAACATGAACAAGAAATGGAGATAGAGAGAAAGAAGAGATTTTCTTCTTCAATTGTGTATATTTTCCTATCTATTACAAGGCCTTTATATAGGCATGAAAAGTGAAGAAAAATATGTCATTGAATATGTCATTAAGCATTTGAGAAGATCATGGAGGAAGAGTAGACATCCACCATAATTTGATTTTTCTTATAACACATTTATGTTTACGTCAAACTAATGGTGCAGGACACAATTTTTTTTTATTTAAATATGATTAAATAAATTGAATAGTTATTTTAATTTATATATAACTGTTAAATGTTGAAATTGGTGCGCGGGTAAGCATTTTTCACTAGGGGAATGTCAACTGTCAACCAACTACCTTGGTCAGTGGCTTTGCGTATCAAAACTGTTTGTGTAAATGCCCATAACAGCGTTATAACGTCCTTTATTTTCCCTCGAGTTTGGTTTCACTATTCGCCAATTAACGGTGCTTGTCGTTTTGTCTCCCATACCCCGCGAGCCAATTAACTACCTTATCCTCTCCCCACCCCCTTTTGGATATTTGCTTATTTCCATTTATGGTATTATTATTGCAATATTTGAATTGGGTAGTCTCAATAATTATATCCCTGCATATAAAGGTCCTTCTCATTTAGGAGATGGCATTTTCAGTTTGATTGAATGTTGGGTTTTGAGCCTATCCCCTTTTGTCTCCTCTTAGACCCCCCACCCCACCTATTCCTCTGTCAATTCTCCTTCAGCTAGATTAACATTTGGGGGTGGTGGGTGTACGTTTCACTGCAAATATGGAAGACTCCTGCAATGAACGGCTTGATTTTGGTAAAATGGGTTATGGGTACGAAAAACAAAATGTATATTTATGCATGCTTAATGTGTGTATTTTTTAACAACAGATTTATAAGCTGTAATATTTGTTTGTCTTAAAGTCACATGGTATCCTGATTAATTTAATTGATGATTCGTGGCTATATATGCGATATAGATGCAAGCACTACAGGAGAAGATGCAGGATCAGGGCACCTTGTTGCAATGAAGTCTTTGACTGTCGCCATTGTCACAATGAAGCTACGGTAACTTTATTAGACTATCGCTTTTGGAGTCTTAAATTTACTCACTGGTGAATGCTGTATTATATATCTGATGATAGTTTGTCACATTTGCGCCGTGTTTATTTCATTAGAGCTCGTTGCACAATGTATTTGATCGACATGAGTTAGTTCGAAATGATGTCAAGCAGGTAATAATCGCATACTAGTAGTTATTTTTCTTCCATTGTATTTGCTTCTTATTTTTCTTCTATATTAAGCTTTAGAAATTCTTACATGAGTTATGTGTTCATTTTGCACTTCAGGTCATTTGCTCAGTTTGTGATACAGAACAGCCGGTGCGTCTCTTGATTTGAATATAGTCTATTTCTTCTTATTTGGTGCTATTTGAATTGATGATCTAATGTATTTCTTGTTTCCAATTTAGGTTGCTCGTGTTTGTACAAATTGTGGTGTAAATATGGGAGAATACTTCTGTGAAGTGTGCAAATTCTATGATGATGATGTAATTATCCTGTGGTTCTACTGAACGAAATTCATTATTATCCCTAATCCTTATATTAGTTCAATGCCCATAGTTCTTTAGGATTTTGACATTTTTAGAAATTATCTTTTCGATGTACTTATTTCTATAATTCCATTGTTTCAGTTAGACAAAGGGCAGTTTCATTGTGATGATTGTGGAATCTGCAGGTCAGTGTAAAATACTACAATATATCTCCGTGCATTGGTAGCTTTATCTGATACTAATACTTTGGTGCTTGGACGTCTGCTAATTAGAATATTATCTTTTGCGCAGAGTTGGTGGCAATGAGAACTTTTTTCACTGCAATAGATGTGGTGCGCATTACAATTTCCTATTATTGTAACTTGAGGCTCCATGGAAATTTTCTTCTCTGTTTTTCTTAAATTTGTTATATGTTTCTTTGATTTTTCGTCTTTTGCTAAAGCGTGAAGGTATATGTGATTCTCTAACTACGGGAGTTCATTGGATCTTATCCTTTACACTGTTCTTTATTCATTCCTAATTATTGACTTGTCCTGTGGGAATGAAGAAAGAATTACTAGTGATTAAAATCATGGGGCAGTGCAGTGATTAATTTATCTTTTGCTCAGATCATCGTCTTAAGAACAACCATATTGTCTATATATTACTCTATAGCTACTATTCGTTGGTTCAGGTTGTACATCTAACATTTAATCCAGTTTCTTTATTTGGGAGCGTGCTTGTAGATTAGAAGCATGGAACTTTGTATTCTTTGCTTTATTGTATACACTACTAGAAAATTATCACCGTAAATGTTACAGATTTTATTTATACACTTGATACTAGTTGAAACACCATTGCCACAAACATATTTTGGTGTTCTTATATATTTTCATTCTGTCTTTTTCTCCCTTTCGAAGTGTGGAATATTGGAGTTTTGTCCCAGTATTTGCTAGAGTTCTCGTTGTGAAACTCCATTTAAGTATGTTTTGGACAAGAGTGGGTTGCTCTAGTGGTAAGCACCCTCCACTTCCAACCAAGAGGTTGTGAGTTCGAGTCACCCCAAGAGCAAGGTGGAGAGTTTTTGGAGGGAGGGAGCCGATGGTCTATCGGAAACAATCTCTCTACCCCAGGGTAGGGGTAAGGTCTACGTACACATTACCCTCCTCAGACTCCACTAGTGAGATTATACTGGGTTGTTGTTGTTAATCTCCATTAGTTGGTTGTACAGTGCAAGCAGAGAAGATAAAGATGGAGAAAATACTAAAGCTTTTCAAGTTTGTTTCTCTTGCAAGGAAATTTTCCAGCTAGACTCAGAACTTTTACTTTTCTTCCTTCTCTTTTTGGTATTCTCTCAACAAGAGGCATTCAAATTATGGTGTCGCCACTTCTATCTTTATGATTTCATTGCTGCAAATGCTATTGCTAATTCACCTTATGCCGTGCATTCTGTAGGCTCTTGCTATTCAATTAGTTTACGTAATAACCACTCATGTGTAGAGAACTCCATGCGGCATCATTGTCCTATTTGTTATGAGGTATTGTATATTAAGTGTATTCTTTTGCTGTGGATTCTACCGCCAATTCTTTTCATTCATGCTGCCATAATCTTTGAAATGCAGTATCTCTTTGATTCTCTTAAGGACACAACAGTACTGAAATGTGGGCACACGATGCACACTGAGTGCTATCACGAGATGATAAAGCGTGACAAGTAATCAGTTTATTTTATTTATTTCTACTGTTCGTTTAGTCCTCATTACATAAAAGGGAAAATTTTATGTTATCTGACTTTCATTCTATCTGGAACTCAGATGCTGCTGTCCCATATGTTCCAGATCAATCATAGATATGTCCAGAGCTTGGAGAAGAATGGATGAGGAGGTAGGTTCTTCGAGCTGGTGCATATTAAACTCTAGGAGGTCGGTCGAGTCCAATTTCCAGAGGATGCATATTATCATGTAAAAAACCCATGCTTAACGAATTGTGCATGGCCAATTACCTTTTTTTTTTTAAACAAGCTCAAATAGTTGTTATTTCTTAATGGTCAAACTTATATAGTAGGTAGAGCATTAGTCAAGTGAGGGATCATTGGCACCCGTAAAGTTCAGCAAAAATTCCATGTATACATGTATATGTTCTTAGAAAATAGTGATATATTAGTAGTGGGAACCGTATATACAAAGAAGATTTTGGTTGAATCCAAAAGTGCACCCGCGACCTTCAAATTCTGAGTCCGCCTCTGGCATTAGTTTTGCAATTATAACTGTTTGAGGTTGATAGGAATCAATTTCTTGAGGATTCATGTCTTTTTTGTAGAAATTCTCTGCAGGCATGAAAGCTTAGCAAAGGTTAATTACTCTTCCTAAGCATATTTCAAAATTTTCTGTCACTTCAAAAGGGCTCAAACCTTAGAACAGGTTTAGCATGCTTGCAAATGTTTGGAAGTGCTTCAAAACCTTTTTGGTTTTCTAGTATCAGTTAACAAAGTTTGTGCTGGAACAAAATGGTGTTATTAAACTTGTATCTCCCAAGATGAACTTATGGTTATTGGGATGGTACTCATTTCCATGTATTTTTTTTGCTTATCATTTTATCTTGCGAGACTCCTAGTTACTTTGGTTGGTTTCTGTTGAATAAATGTTCTGTTCTTGTAGATAAATTCCTAACTCCCCTCTTCTCACAAGAAAAGAAAAAGAAAAATGGAAAAGAGAAGAAGTTATTTCTGGAGTATTCATTGACCTTATTGCATGCATTCATAATCAAGAGTCAAAGTCTTGAAAATATTACTACAGCAGTGTTAAGTGGACTTTAGCTTTAGCTCCCCTATAGTTATATGACAGTAGAGGATATTTCATTTCCTAGGGAGTAGAGTACTAATGCATCAACTTGAAAATAGTGTTATGTTTAACTTGTTTTCAAGAATCTTGTACACCTAGAACTCATATCCTGCCTCAACTTCCAAATCTTCTCTTTCAGATTGAAGAGACAATCATGCCTGACGATCTTAGATACAAGAAGGTACTTCTGGTTTTTTCTTAACCCCATATATATATTTGGTGGCCTTTAACTGTTTTGACAGTCTATTCCAGAGGGCTCAACAGGGATGCAGTCGGTGTTTAAGGTTCTGCAGCCCCTTAATGCATCTTTTTAGCATATATGAAGCTGAGATGATAAATGCGGACTTGTTATATTTATAATTTTATACTATAAAAAATAATCGAAGTGAACTACCTTAGGCTTCAATTTTTGTCATCCTCGGCACATATTTGCTTCTTACATCAACTATGCTGAATTCATGTAAACTGATTACTTTGCAGGTTTGGATTCTATGTAATGACTGTAATGATACAACCGAAGTATTCTTCCACATTATCGGGCAGAAATGTCGACACTGTGAATCATACAACACCCGTATGATTGCACCTTCCGTTCTTCCTTAATAACAATATTTTTCTAACTGGAAAAACTGAATGTTCCACTGCTACATCATTTGCCGCCATTGCATCACAACTCAACTTGCATTTCGGATGCATTTGTAATATAATTCTTTCTCCAATTATGTGGAGTAGAAAACCCAACTGATTTGATACTGGACTTATATGTATCATATATGATTAATTATTGTAGTGCTTGAAGTTGAAGGGAGTACATTTTATTGTTTAAAAATAAAAACAAAGTGCACATTTTAGCACTAGTGTGTTAAAATTGCCCAAGTGGATGAATGTAATTATGGCCAATATTTTGGCTAATGGAGTCCATCTCACACAAGCATAAGCATCTTTGCAAAGTGTAGACTTTGTTGGCAATATTCTTTGGGACCCAAAAATATTGCATTATGTGGTGGACATCATTTGCACAAGTTGTATCTCTTTTTTTACACCTAATAAGCCAAGACTTTTTTGCCTATAAAAAGGAAGGCAATTACATTTTAGACACACCAACAGGACTTGTCTTCAATTCTTGTTTCTTCCTTTATTAAGAGTGTTTTGTATTAGAGTTAGTGTTGGGAAGCACCTGTGTGAACCCTTTCTTTGGAGTGATCTTGTGAGGTTCTTCTCTTAGGGTATTTGGGATTAATTAGAGTGTTTACTCTAATTTTGTATTCTCTTTTGTACTCTTATTGTTATAGTAAATTGCTCCTATCCGCTTGTGGACATAGGTCACTTTGACCGAACCACTTTAAATTTATGTCTTCTTTATCTACTTTAATTGTCGTTGTTATCAACTTTCATTGTCTTTGTTATTGCTATTATATCGTTATTCGGCTATATTCCGCACTACCCGGGTTACCGATCCTAACAAATTGGTATCAGAGCCGGATCTAACCGGGTTAGTTTCGATAGCCAAAATGACTTTAACAAAGACCTATGTTGAGAAATTTGACTGAAGTGCAAACTTCGGAATGTGACAATTAAAGATGGAAGCTATCCTAATTCAGGATGGTTTAGACTTGACATTGCAAGTAAAGGAGAAGAAGCCAGATAAAATGATGGATGAGGAGTTTGCCGTCATAGACAAAAGGGCAAAAGCAGTTATCATTTTAAATCTCTCAAATGAGGTTTTAAGTGAAGTTTCTGTAGAAACCACAGCCAAAGGCATGTGGAAAAAATTGAAAACCTTATATATGAAGCAGACGGTGGAAAATAGACTTTACCCGAAGCAGAAACTTTATACAATTCGTATGGGTGAATGTACCTCTATTCTCTCTCATCTTGACACCTTTGATTTCATTCTTATGGATTTGAGTAATATAGATGCTGAAATTAAAGATGAGAATCAAGTCGTGTTACTGCTTTGTTCTCTACCCCCATCTTTTAAGTATATAAGAGATAATATGCTTTATGTAAAGGATAATATCTCTTATAAGGATATTAAATCTATCTTAAAATTAAAAGAACAGATAGATAGTGATATTACTGGGGAAGCTAGTGGAACTCAAGCGGGAGTTGGCTTGTTTGTTAGGGGAAAATCCGACTCCATATTCAGATATAATAATTTAGAGTGTCGCTATTGTCATAAGAAATGTCATATTATCTCTGAATTCTATAAACTGAAAAATAAAGAAAAGCATAAAGAAAGAAAAAATGAGCACAAAAATACTGACATCGCCGAATCTAGTGTAGCAACTGATGAGATTGAGGGAACTATATTTCTAGCAACTGAAACTAGTTTCAGATTAGACAATGAGTGGATTTTAGATTCTGGTTGTTCATATTATATGTGTCCTAGCAGGGACTTGTTTTCTACATATGATTCAGTTGCAGGTGGAGTTGTCCAACTAGGTAACAATGTTATTTGTAACGTTATTGACAAAGGTACAATTCGGGTCAGAATGCACGATGATGTGGTGAGAACTCTCACCGATGTTAGATATGTTCTTGAGTTGAAGAAAAATCTCATATCTTTGGGCACTTTAGAATCCCTTGGGTGCAAATTCACTAGTGAAGGTGGAGTTTTAATTTTTTTTAAAAATGCTCTTGTGATCATGAAAGCAAACAGATTTGGTTCGTTGTATACTTTATTGGGCTCCACTGTTATAGGCCCTAGTACAGTTTCGGTATCAGACAACTTGTCTGATTTTGATGGCATTAAATTTTTACATATGCCCATTGGGACTTTTGCGGAGAAGGTGGAACAAATTTACTATATTAGCCAAAATTAGGCCAATGTGGAGATTTATAATTATGGCCAATATTTTGGCTAATGGAGTCCATCTACATAAGCATAAGCATCTTTGCAAAGTATAGATTTTGTTGGCAATATTCTTTGGGACCCAAAAATATTGCATTATGTGGTGGACATCATTTGCACAAGTTGTATCTCTTTTTTTACATCTAAGAGGCCAAGACTTTTTTGCCTATAAAAGGGAAGGCAATTAGTTCATTTTAGACACACCAACAAGACTTGTCTTCAATTCTTGTTTCTTCCTTTCTTCCTTTATTAAGAGTGTTTTGTATGAGAGTTAGTGTTGGGAAGCACTTGTGTGAACCCTTTCTTTAGAGTGATCTTGTGAAGTTATTGTCTTAGGGTATTTGGGATTAATTAGAGTATTTACTCTAATTTTGCACTCTCTTTTGTACTCTTATTGTTATAGTAAATCACTTTGACCGAACCACGTTAAATTTGTGTCTTCTTTATCTACTTTAATTGTCATTGTTATCAACTTCCATTGTCTTTGTTATTGCCATTATACCGTTATTTGGCTATATTCCGCACTATCCGGATTCCCGATCCTAACAATGAAGGTATTACGATTCATGGAAACCCCGATGGGGCGAGGCCTGCTATAACATGGAGTACATCAAAAATTAATCACTATAAAATGTAAATATGTACAAAGGAACTTTTTGGTTATAGACATGCTTCTATGTTTTGGTTCTTAATGATCTTGCATTAACTCTCTTATTGCTTATGTTTGCTAACAAGATGCATAAGATGTGAGAAAATGAAAAAAAAACTGTCACTTACATTTAGGGGTAGGTTTAACTGGTCGCTTAAATATATTCCTGAGTAATTTTTGTCCTCTAAGTTTGTTAAAAGTGAGCACTTTTTGGTCTTTGTCAAATATTTAATAAATTCTGATTGTTACATTTAATGGAACTATGAGAGATAATTATGGCTGTATAGTACACTGTACACAACCAAAAATGTCCAAGTAAAGACAAATAGATCATTTTGCCTTAATCTGTCTGAAGAATCCAAGAATATATGGAATACATTTCGGGAAGTTCCTCAAAGAACCGTACGCACAACACATGACATTTGGTTACACCTATTTCATTCATTATATNACAAAAAATAAAATTTTCTAATTTTTAATTTTTTTTATAGAATTTCTAGGATTTTTTTGTTAATTATTGTTTGCATTTAGTTGCATATTTAATATCTTAAAATCATAAAAAAGAATACCATAAAAATGTTCAATTCTTCTTGGCATAGCATTTAGTTACATTTTTAGATTTTTAGTCTTGAATTAAGGATTTTCTTTTATTAGTGCACATTTTAAAATTAATTGATTAGTTAAGTGTTAGAAAATAGGTAAATAGGTTAATTTTACAAATTAGACTTGAGTTAAGATTTAATTTATTATGCTAAGTATTTTGTTTATAAATTAAAAATCAAAAAAAAAAGGAAAGGAAAGAAAGGAAAAGAGGTCATTTGCTCTTCATTCACAACTGGGCAGGTATTTCAGAGGCCTAGTCCCACTTCAACCCAGCCCAATCCCCACCAACTCCCAGTCCGATCCAACTCCTAATAACCAAAACTACGTCGTTTTAGTAACGATAAATCGTTGCCCTTCACTTCTTTGATCCAAGGGTCCGGCACTGTCACACCCCTTTTATACCCCTCAAAAAGATGTATGTGTTATGGATTGTTGTGGGTTAAAGGAGTTTTCCAATTAAAGTGACAAATTTGAATATGGATTATTTTATTTACATAGTCGCCACTTGGAATTGATTTTTTGGGTGTTCCAAGTCACCTTTTTTTTGAATCCCTAGTTAAAGGAAGGTTTGACTCTATTATTATTGGTCTGCGTAAATAAAGTCCGGGTAAGGAATTCTGTTGACCGGAAAGAAGGTGTAAGGCATTCCCCGAGTCCCGTGGTTTTAGCACGGTCGCTTTATTGACTACAACTAGGCTTGAATTTATTTTAGATAAACTGTGATTTATTAGTTTTCATGTTTTATCTGTCCGCTTTTATATTAAAATATGAAATTATCTTTGAAACGAATCATGTGAATGTGTGAATCCGTTTTGTTTATTGTGCCAAATCATGTCACGTGTACGTGCACGCAATTAATAGCATTTTTATTATATTTAAGGTTGTTTCGCCCAAAGTTGCGCGAACGCATATCATGATTTTAGTTTTGGGAATCGTAATTATGTCACACGAATGTATACATAATCAAGATTATTCAATTAATTATGAGTACGCCTAAAGCATTCTAGCGTATTCATGATTTATTTCTTTCCTAAGTTTGAGATTATTATGAAGGCCATGAATTATGGAATTACTTGTGGAAGAAGTGTATGATTTTAGATATTTGAATAAATAAACCATCATATACCAATAACCTACAACCCAACAATTGAAACCCAAACTCATTAGGGTCCAAATCTTCCCAACTTTAAAGCAAGTTTGAATACCATATTTCCAAAAACATGATTAAGCATATAGCATTTAAGGACTAACTTACATTATTATTTATAAAGTTTAAAGGCAAATAAATAAAATCACATGAAATAAGATAAAAATAATAGAGCTTTAATGCAAAATTTCCAATTAAATGAGTCTCCAAGAACATGTACAATAATTCAGACGAACATCGAACAAGCATAAGCGACGAATAACATCAAACCTAGTGAACAGAGCTCCAACGGAATCCTCGACCTCGACTATTGACTCTACTTTTTGGCGTGTAAAAAAGGATGTTATGAAGTATTTTTGTTGGGTTTTGGGGTGATGACTTGCTGGATTGTTTGAAAGAAAGACGAAGACAGAATGACACGAGTAGAAATTCCCTTAGCGTAGAAGAAGAAAAAATAATTTCTCTCAATTCTCTCCTCCCTTCTTTTTTTCTCCTTCTCCCTCCCCCTCTCTCCTCGCATTTCTCTTCTATTTATAGAAAAAAAATCGAAATTGTTTCAATTTTTTATTTTTTATTTTATTATTTTTTAATTAAAAAAATTTTTCACTTCCCATTTTTCGTCTTTTTTTTAAGAAAATAATTCTCACTTTCCTTTACTTTTTAAAATTTTTCACTTATTTTACTCTTTTTTTTAATTTTCACCTATCTTACTTTTCTTTTTTTTAATTTCTACTTTCTTTTACTTTTTTTTAAAAAAAATCAGCTATATTTACTTTTATTTTTTTAATTAAAACTTCTTTTACTTTTAATTTTTTAAATTTCCACATTCTTTTACTTTTATTTTTTTATTTTTCACTTTCTTTTACTTTTTTTAAAAAGTAATTTCCACCTACTTTTACTTTTACTTTTTTATTCCATACTTTTAATTTTTTTTATTATTTTATCCCCATCCGAAAATTAAAAAATAATAATTTTTTCGTTTTTTAATCTATTTTATTTTAAAAATAAAGATAAAAAATAAAAATAATACTAATAGTAATAATTTGACCTTTTAAATTATTTTTAATTCTTACCCTATATAAAAAAAAATATAACAAAGCTAAAAATATATATATTAAATTTCTAAAAATAATTACATAGTAGAAGGTGGTAAAAATTCAAATATAGTCAAAAATTAGGTGCTCAGAGCTGCCCCTCTTTGCTTGAAAACATGAAGAGTTTTCAGACAAAGATTAGGTGAGCCATGTGACTAATTTTTGACCAAACCGTTATTCAAAAGGAAAAGAAATAAAAGATAAAGTGCAACCGAGTCTTGGTTTTGGACAACGTACATATCCCGGGTTATAGGGGAATCAAGTCACGTGTAGTTCAATGAGAATGGTGGAATGATGAGTTGAGGAGTCGAGTGAGGTTCTGTCGAGGCTCCGGTCCGCGGTCCTGCTATTATAAAAAAAGAAACTAAACAAGCCTATTAGCTATGAGTTACAAGATTCCTATCTATGAGTCTTTTGAAACTTGATCTTGAGTCTTGACTAGTTCTTCGTTTAGACTCTAATCTAAACCTTGATGCTCGCTAGCTGTAAGTGCTAGTTCATTGCTGTATAGCTTCTTCTAATCAAAACAGGACTCCAATGCTCGTGGCTTCAGTCATGTCTTGAGCATTCCACATCTTTTCAACTGCTTTTGCATTTTGGATTCACCTATTTTTTCTTTTTTTTTATTTTGAATTGAGACTTCTTCTTTTGGTCATCTCGAACCCTGTGCCTCGAGGTAAAATCTACTCATACACCAAAACAAACAAACGAATGAACGAAATTTTTCTGCACCAGTTTGCACTAGGAAAGTTTCGTGAGTTATTGTAACAAAATTCTAAACTACTTCTTTATTGAAAGCAATAAAAGGTCGGGAATGGTGTACCCCGAAACTGTCACGACCCAAAATCCAACTAGTCGTGATGGCACCTAACCCAACCCGTTAGGTAAGCCAATTACCAACTATTCAATTACAATGACAATTATTTAAAAGAAAATATCTAAAACCAATACATTTCCCCAAGAACTGGTAGTACAAATCATGAGCTTCTAAGAATAGAGTATACAAAGTGGAAATGAAATAAATATATAGTTTGTTTGAATAATACATAAAAAGAGATTTTATAAATCTAAGTCTACACTGAACAAGAGACAGCTACAACAGGAACGTAGGTACATCTTCAAATCCGGAAACCATCGAACACAGCCACAACGACAACCAATATCTGCACGCAATGTGCAAAAGTGCAGTATCAGTACAACCGACCCCATGTATTGAGTAAATAACAAACCTAGCCTTAGGTTGAAAGTAATGACGAGCTTCTACCAAGGTCGGGTCCAAAATCACTAGTCCACAACAGTCCATAACAACATGAAGCAAATAATACCATAAGAAACACAGAGATAAAATGCTCAGCCAAATCATGATTTCAAAAATAATAGTTCTTCCTTTCAAATACATCAGTGAAAACCCAAATCGTTTGTCGAAGTTGCCAAAAATATGAATAATTTGAGAACATTAATTTTTTCAAAATCCTTTCAATAATAAATAAAATATCTCATTTTCTTTCCCAGATAACCAGTGTAAAATAAATGCATCACTATGCCCATCTGTCAACGTGTGTGAGAAATCATGAATAATGTGATACCGTACAACATGAGAAAAATACATCTTTATGCATATATGTCATGTGTGCATGTCAATGCAGTGTATCTCATAGATTGCACTCATGTACTCACACTCTCTTAGAGTACTCAATCTCATTGTCTCGCATTCTCTCTCACTGTGCTCACCACACTCAATCACTCAGCGCTATACAATACCTGCTGCAGCGTGCAACCTGATCCCAATTTTTACTTTTTTTATTTTTCACTTATTTTACTTTCCTTTTTTTTTATTTTCACCTATCTCACCTTTTTTTACTTTTTTTAAAAAAAAATCAGCTACCTTTATTTTTATTTTTTAATTAAAACTTCTTTTACTTTTTATTTTTTAAATTTTCACATTCTTTTACTTTTATTTTTAAAATTTTTCACTTTCTTTTACTTTAAAAAAATAAATAATTTCCACCTACTTTTATTTTTACTTTTTTATTCCATGCTTTTAATTTTTCTATTATTTTATTCCCATCCTAAAATTAAAAAAAATTCGTTTTTAATCTATTTTATTTTAAAAATAAAGATAAAAGATAAAAATAATATTAATAGTAATAATTTGACCTTTTAAATTATTTTTATTTTTTACTCTATATAAAAAAAATATAACAAAGCTATATATATATATATATATATATATATATATTAAATATCTAAAAGTAATTACATAGTATAAAGTGATAAAAATTCAAATATAGTCAAAAATTAGGTGCTAGTGACGTTTCCCCTAACCTTAGAGACCCGTCTCTAAAGGGAGGGGTTCCCCTCCCCTTTAACTGTCCTAAATCCGACCCCTAACCCTAATATAGGGTCTCCACTCCCTAGTTGATTTTATTTTAGATATAGGGTCTCCAATCCCTAGTCGCTTTTCCAACATAGGGTCTCCTCTCCCTAATTGACGTTATTTTAGACGTAGGGTCTCCACTCCCTAGTCTGCCTTTACAACATAGGGTCTCTACTCCCTAGTTGATTTTTATTTTAGACATAAGGTCTCTACTCCCTAGTCACTTTTCTAACATAGGGTCTTCACTCCCTAGTTGGCTTCATTTTTCATTTTTATATATAGGGTTTTCACTCCCTAGTCTCTGCTTTTCTCTGGGTGCACTAATCCCGACCTTTTATTGCTTTCAAAATGAAGTAGTATAGAGTTTTGTTATAAATAACTCACGAAATTTTTCTAGTGAATATTGGGGCAGAAAATTTCGTTCGTTTATTTATTTTGTTGTCTGAGTAGGTTTTACCTCGAGGCACGAGTTTGAGATGACAAAAGAAGAAGTTCTCAATCCAAGATAAAGAAAAGAAAACAAAATGAGTGAATCCAAAATGCAGAAGCAGATGAACGGATATAGACTACTCTAGACATGACTGAAGTCACGAGCATTGAATTTCTCGTTTTGATGTGAAAAGCTAAAGAAGAATGAACTAGCACTTGCAGCTAGCGAACATCAAAATTCAAATCGGAGTCTGCATGAAGAGCCGATCGAGACTCAAGATCAAGCTTCAAAAGACTTATAGATATGAATATTGTAACTCATAGCTAATAAGCTTGTTTAGTTTCTTTTCCATCTTGATTTTGGTGTAATAAGGAATTCAGCAAGCACTAACATCATCAACAACAGTGAAATCATAGTTTCTGGTAATCCCAGCTACCAAAACTCCAGAACTACACTGACTTGATTCCTTTATAGCCAAGGATATGTAGGCAACCTCCGAAGCAAGGTTCAGTCAAATATTTCAAAATGGTTCCGAATGGAGTGTCAAACGGGCAAAAACTTGCTTGTAGTTTCTCACTTTATCTTTGCTCGAAAACTCTTCATGTTTCCGAGCAAAGAGGGGCAGCTGTGAGCACATAATGTTTGCCCTACGAAAACATTCCTACAAAGTCCACAATAAATAAATTTTTCTAATTGTTTTTAATTTTTTTTTTATAGAATTTCTAAGAATTTTTTGTTAATTATTGTTTGCATTTAGTTGCATATTTAATATCTTAAAATCATAAAAAACAAATACCATAAAAATGTTCAATTCTTCTTGGCATATCATTTAGTTACATTTTTAGATTTTTAGTCTTGAATTAAGGATTTCCTTTTATTAGTTCACATTTTTAAATTAATTGATTAGTTAAGTGTTAGAAAATAGGTAAATAGGTTAATTTTACAAATTAGACTTGAGTTAAGATTTAATTTATTATGCTAAGTAATTTGTTTATAATTTAAAAATAAACAAAAGGAAACGAAAGAAAGGAAAAGAGGTCATTTGCTCTTCATTCACAACTCGGCCAGGCATTTCAGAGGCCTAGTCCCACTTCAACCCAGCCCAATCCCCACCAACTCCCAATCCAGTCCAGCTCCTAATAACCAAAACTACGTCGTTTTACTAACGATCAATCTTGGCCCTTGATTTCTTTGATCCAAGGGTCCGACACTAACCTTTCCCCTCCCTTTTAACTGTCATAAATCCGACCCCTATCCCTAGAGACCCATCTCACTACTTACCCTTCCTCTCTTTCATCTTTCACCCTCTGCCGCCGCCGTAAATCGCCTACGTCGGCGGTCCACCACCAAACCACCCCAAAATTATACCACATAATCCCCACAACTTTCTAAATCCTAACCCCTCATCAATTTCCCCAGAAAACCACCCAAACCTCACAAATTTCAGATCTTAGAAACGGCCAGCAGCCCTAGGTTCTTTCTTTGGATTTTTCAAGATCTCCAAGATTTGACTCGACCCGAAATTTGCATTGTTTGATTGTTCTCAATAAGAACAATCGAATGATGTTAATTTCGACTCGTTTCGAAAATATCGGAGTTGGTCGATTACCAATTTTTCTCCTGACCAGCATCTATTTGGCCTCAATTGGTAATTTCGTGACCTTTTTCTTTTTATTTCAGATTATTGTGCCTCAATATTAAACTCCAATTGATCCCTGTTTTGTTGGCATTTCTTCTTTCTGTTAAGTTCAGTTCAATTAGACATTTGACATATTATTTTGTTTGATTATACGTTTTGCATGTGTAGAATGATGGTAGAACAACATGATAGTTAGTTATAGGTTAATTAATCATGAATTAGTAATCACACCTTTGCATTAGGATTTATTTGTTTAATTGTTGATATTTTTGCATATGGTTACTCCGTTTGGATTTTCTTGATCTGTTTTCTTAGTGGTAGTTGTATGTAATTAACAGAAGTTAAAGGAGTCAAAGGAATTTGGGAAATCAGGGAATCTTAGGTGTTTGTTCAGGAAGCCTCTAGATACACACTGAAGAACCTTCAGAAATTCAGTTTTACACTCTGCATATTTATTCACTCATAAAGATACACACGGAAGAACCTTCAGAAATTCAGAGACTCTTCTTCATTTTCATTCTGGTTTTCCTCCTCTTTTTGAGTTTAAGGCTAGAAACAGAAAACAAGAAAAATTTTCAAGGCTGCTTTTTCTTCTCCACTTGCTACTGGTTTTACTCCATTTTGCTGGGATTTTGAGTTTGGCTGGCTGCTGGTTCTTTTGTTCTTGCTGATTTCTGCTGCTGTATTTGCTTTGCTGCTGCCGTTTTTGTCACATTTCAGAGACTTATTTTCTTTTGTTTTGGTTCTGTTATAACCAGGTATGTAGTTGAGTTCTGGATCTAATCAACTTGTTATTTCGCTTTTGTTTCGATCTATCTGTTAGAAGATGTTTAGAGTTGACATACACTCCATTTATGTAATGATTTAAGTTATGACAAACTCTAAAGCTGAGGGATGGATTTGAAGTCACTGAAAAGGGAAGTTTAAGTTGTGGGTTTAGTCGTATCTTATTCTGGGATGGCTATTATTGTAAACGACTTCTGTGTATATTGGAAAACGTTCATATTGTCGAGGTTTGTTATTAAAGTGGCCATATTAGTTATCTGCTTAGCTAAAATGTATTCTCTGTTTAATTGTGTGATTATCAAGTGCTTAGTTCTGCATACTCACTAAAAATGTATGGCATAAGTCTAAATATATATATATATATATNACGTACATTTGATATCTTTCAGTTAAAAATCAGATGAGTTAAATTCTTTGCAAAACACTTCCATTAATCTAAGATAGGATGTGAATTTCGTTGGGCTCGTTAAAAGACAGCTAAGGCTAGCTTTATCTTTCTGTTTCCAATAATTGATGCCATTCATTAGATAACCTCATATGCGTACATCCCATAAATTCTATAGCCCTGAGCTTTCACAAGTAACCTCGAATAATTAACTTATAAGCATCCTTAGAAATGCTTTTTAGGCACACTTTTAATCAAATTATCATGATTATGTGACACGATTACGATTAACATTCGTAGAAATGCTTTTAGGCGCGCATTTAATCTACTATCGTAATTGTGTACACGTTCGCGTGGCAACAACAACAACCGAGTGAAATCCGACTAGTGGGGTTTGGGGAGGGTAGTGTGTACGCACACCTTACCTCTACCCCGAAGAGGTAGATAGACTGTTTTCGAAAGACCCTCGGCTTAAGAGGACAAAAAGACAAAATAAGACAATATCAGTATAACCACATAAATCATAGGAAAAATAGGAACATGAAATCCATAAGAAAGATGCAAATCAAAAACGAAAAAAGCAAAAACAAAAACGATAGCTAGTAAATAGGTCCGATACTGAAACGCAAAATAGTAAGACACGATATTGCCACTAGCTAGCTTAGACAAAACCCTATCAGACTAGTCTCACAACGGTACAAAATAAGATAAGACTCAACTATTTCCTAACCTACAACCCTAATACTCGACCTCCACATCTTCCTATCAAGTGTCATGTCCTCGGAAATCTGAAGCCTGACATGATTATGATTTTCACAAATAAATCAAAATCCGCTTTCGCGCGACTTTGACCGAACAATCCTAAAATAATAAAGTGTTATTAATTATGTACACGTACGCGTGACGTGATTTTTAGCGCGCCAAATAAAACGGGTTTACACACATGTGGTTCGCTTCAAGATAATTCCATAACGCTATAACAAGTAATTTAAAAAGCGGTAAAAGGTAAATGCACATATGTTCTAAAATACGTAATTAAACAATTTAATTAAGCCAGGTATGATTAAAGCGACCGTGCTAAAATCACGGAATCCGCGAATGCCTAACACCTTCTCCCGGGTTAACAGAATTCCTTACCGGGTTTTCTGGTTTCGCGGACTTTAAAACAGAATCAATTTCCTCGATTTGAGATTTAAAATAAACCGGCGATTTGGGACACCATAATATTTATCCCAAGTGGCGACTCTAAAATTGAATAAAATAATCTCATTTCGAATAATGTCACTTTAATTGAAAAAACTCCCTATTCTTCGGAAAAAAAGGAGGGGTGACAATATAAATTTCTTTACACTATATTTATAAATACATACACACCTACAGGCTACAACATGCATACATATACATATATAGTAGTATCTATCTTTTTGGTTTCGTTCAGTTTCAGTTCAACTTAATTTTATTTAATACAGAACCGAAATCAAATATTATTGTTATTTTTTAAATTACAAAATCGAATCAAATTAAGGTACACACTGATTGAGTCAGTATTTTGTTCGGTTTGGTTTTTGACTGTTCTTGAATATCCTAGTGGCACCAGCACCTGAAACCATATTACTTCAAACCCTTCTGATTTTCTACTAGCACACCAAATCTCACAAAGCCACATTAGTCACAAGCTATTTTATTTATTTAGATAAAGGCATTTTAGTAGTGATTAACAAGGACATTGTTCTCAAGTCCAAGCAATAAATTGCAGTAAAGGCTGTATACAGATTCCAATTCCATAATGTGCTAACAAGAATACTACTCACAGATTGTAGTTAAATACACCAAACAATGATCCTATAGTTTCAGTATGAATATGAAAGCATGGGAACAGATGCTGCATCAAGAAAGAATGTGAAAATGGCAGTCTGCGTTACTCCAGTCATTTAGAAGGGGTGATAGCCGTGGCAGCAATTATTCTGATACTCCAAGGAATTGAGCAAAGCTTGGATATTTGGGCTCCCATCCTAGTTCAGCACGAGTTTTTGAGTTGTTTAACTTCTTTCCTAAAGGATCATTAGTTCCTGAAAGAAAAGACACATAACTGCTGAAGCATGACTCTTTAGGCAAACATGAGTACAGACTAAGGATAGAATCAGTTACCTATGAAACCCTCAAACTTCATATCAAACTTTCCACTTTTATCGACCAAATCCATCACTTCCTGCCTGCAATGAGCACTAGGTAATACAACAATTTAGTGCAACAAGGATCTGAATATTTTGCTCAACCCAAACACAGAGAGTATTCAAATTGGATGACCTGGATAAAGGGTGGTTGTCACAGCCCAAAAAGATCCGACCACGAAGTCTCTTCTTTAAGATGGTAACTGACAATGAAGCGGCATCCTGTTCGAATAGACAGATCAAAACATCAATATAATTTTACAAGCAAACATGATGTAAAACATAAATGCATAGTCACCTCATAATGAATAAGATTGAGGATGTGGTCAGGACGAATATCACAGATTCCTTTATGTAACCAGTATATATGTGCGCCTCTATCTGCTTTGTATTAATGGTTAAGGTAGGTGCAATTGTGCACAAACAATAAAGATCTAAAAGCTCCACAGAAAGGAATACACCACTTGAAGCCCATAATCAAGGATATATAAAGGCCAGCCAATCTAACTACACAACCATCAAAGTCCAGCGCTACTTTCTCTGCCTTGAGAAGTACATCAGTTCTAGGACTCCTCCCTATTGGAACTATGGGACCATCCTGTACATTGACATTGAAAAGGTGTTTAGCTAATAAAAAGAAGGCTGCTGGAATAACACAAGACCAAGTCTTTTAAGTTATAAGCTTCATGAACTAAAATGCATCAGTTCCTCTCCAGAAAGGCAATTAAGAACACTGTATCCTAATTTTGACTACATAAATCACACCTTGAGTTAATCAAAACAAGAAAATGTTACTTGAATAATCGTTTTATAAGATCTAACACCTCATTTATTGCTCCGTTGTCAAAGCAGTCATATGGTGCAGAGCTTGAAGTAAATAGGAAAGAACCTTCGCCATTCCAGCTTAATGCAGCCTCCCTGCTCATTTCACACGCAAAAGAGAACTTAATTACAGGTGGCATTCAAATCAGTCACCTAAGCAAGCCTGAAGACAAAGCAAAAAGACTGGCAAGCAATAACGTGTGGAATATTAATAATTCTCAGTACCGTCTTAATACTGTCTATGAATTAAAGACTTCATACCATTATCAAAAGAAGAATATTAATAATTAATTTTCTGTTAAAAACACATCCTAACTAAGCAGAAATTAACAGAAAAACTAATAGGAGAACTCATATTGATGAAGAAAATATGTTCGAAAAGGATATTTATTACTACAAGCAGCATTATCCTTAAACTTTAGGAACACACAAAGAAATCATGCAACACAACTTTTAACAACTAAGCCTTAACCCAACTATTTGGCATAGGTCACCAACTAAAAATTTCCTTTAACAAAACCAGAAACTCAAACACATTTTTGCTTATTAGTGCCCCACAAATTACAACAGTTTTTCCACTCTCCATCATGAAACATCCACATAAACTATTCACCTTGATATTGTTTTTTACAAGAAAATTTTCTATATCAGCATGATTAATGAGCCTCAGAAAATATGAAATTTGATATCAAATAATGCCATTATAGATAGTGACTTGCAAGAATTAATAACCTAACCTAAAACAAATATAAAAAAAAAAAACTTACCTAATGTCACAAACGTAATGCCATTATAGATAGTGACTTGCACGAATTAATAACCTTACCTTATGTCACCAGCGTAGTCTTCAGTCTGGGATGGAGGAGCACAGAATATAACATAAGGGAACTTGTAAGTCAGCTTGGTTTCTTTGGAAGATGGATTAATTCCCATTTTAATCAGTTCATCATGGTGATGGGTGGTCATTGTCTGCCCATATATCTGACAGCCTGGGTTTTCCTGCCTCATTAAAGGATCTACAAATATTAGCATCTTATTCACGAAGCACACCAAATAAGCAGCACACAAAACCGCCAGTCTGTTACACTTATAAGCCAAAGCCTCATACTCCAAATAACAATCTAATTTCAGAAAATAAACAGCAAAGGTTTCTAAAACTAACCCAACTTAACAAACAAGAAATGGTTGGATATGCTCATGTAACTTTTGAATGGGCGTAGAAAGTAGGCATTGTAGGGACACAGAAAAGTCATGTTCTTTCTATTCAAAGAACCATACCTCTCTCCATTTTTCAGCAACTAAACGGCCAAGAACACCAGGTCCAACAATCAGCAGGTCGTTCGCTCCAATGTTTACCCCAGACGAAGCCTCTAATTCTTCACTCGGAGCATCTTCAACAACAACAAATCACTCTAAATGAATAAAAATAGAGAAGATAAATTCATAAAAAGATGCATAATATCTTAGGAGTAAAGCATGAAACATTGTTGGTAAACATGAAGTCATCAGCATCTGAACAACCCCGTTCAATGGGACACTTGAGACTGCCTACTTATTTGGCCACCAATGACATAAATTCCTCTAAACATAACTAAGTCAAGACATACATAAACATTCATACTGCATAGGACTTGACCTAATTAACACCCTTTAAATCTCTGATTGCTAAGAAACAACTCGAATATAAGTACACAGCTAAAAAGAAGCTAGAAATTTCCGTATAAGCCTCGGGCAAGAGATACAAGTAAATGTGCAAGTAGATATGCAAATGAACTCTAATCGCACTGGACTAAGAAAAGTAGAAAGCAAAAGCTAGTCCTTTTCAAATAAGCAACGCTTGATCAGCAAATTTGTCGTCCCAAAGCGGTAATTCGTAATCAGAATTATGTGGGGAGGTGATCACTTGTTATTTTGTGTCTCAGCTTGTGTGTTTCCGAATTCGATATATATATATATATAGAGAGAGAGTACCAATGGCAGAGGAAGCGTTGACTTGAAGAAAATTGGCGGACATTGGAGGTGATGAACGCTTCCACTTGAGGAGAGCAAGATTAGGGATTGAGGGAAGTGAAGTTGAGAAGAAAGTGAGATTGGAAGTTTGAAGACGGACTCCAAATCCAATTCTGGTAGTTGCGGTTATGGACATGGTGCCCATTCGATGGATAATTGACATTTGAGTGGATAATTCTGGCTGTCTCTGTTATCAACTTCTTTCTATACTGGGCCGCTTTCAGTTGGGCCACACTCTATGCTCTCCAAAACCTTTTAGAGTGGGGATTTTTCATACATATAAATATTAAACTTATTTTCCCCAAAATAACTAAGTTTGTTATAAATAGTATTTTATTTATGGTGAATGACTATCTATTAGAGAGATTTTAGATTTTGTTACTTTGTGGCTAAGTTACTTTTCTCTATAAATATTCTATTGTAATTCATCTCAAATCAATAAAAATTCTACCTCTCTCTCTACTTTTCTCTGCAATACTCTTCTTTTTCTTTATTGTTTTATAACACGTTATCAACACTATTAGGTAGAGTACGGTTGTTTTAATTTATAGATATACTATTAATTGATTGTCTAATGTTTGAGAAATTAAACCACCCGTGAATAGAAGATAGAGGAATTTGCATAAGGCTCTTACGTGAATGCATTGATATTCCTATACTGGGCAATCTGCTTTGGTCACTAGGCTTTAGGATACATGCATGATGCTCAATTTATATATAATATTGAGCTTAATGATTGTCAATTGTTCCATGAACTTCCTTTAGAAAAAAATTCTGGATTTAAGGTGAGTATTTTACCTTATTTTAAATTCTTGAAATTCCATAATTTGATTTTAAAACAAGGAAAGACAATAAATTTTGATTACAACTCTAATAGAGTTTGTAAGAAATTATAACCGCCCGAAGTGGTAAAATTTCTATATCTTGCCATTATCAAATTCATGTATGAATGTGAGCACAAGAAGTAGAAAACCGTTCCATTGAATTTGCTTCATTCTCGCTCCCTTAAGAGAATGCGGTAGTAGTATGTGATAAGTTTAAAAGAAGATAAAATTATTACCGTAAAGGTATCAATGGATGTGAACGTGACAATAGACGAAATTATAATCGTCATCATTGTGGTAATGAGAACAATAAGGATTCTCACAATAATCCTTCACTCTGTGAAAGTAATGTTTGTCATCGATTTGACCTGAGATTTTGTAAAGTCCATATAGATGATTATGGTCTTTTCATGATGTGAATGTGATAACATGTGATTTATGAATACATATTTATTCTTGAAAGAATATGAACGTGCTAGTGGTAGTGAATATACCATACTTACCTCTAAAAAAAGGTTTGAGATGAAATAAGAAAATAATTTCATTATTATGGCATGAATGGGCATTGATCACGTACTGATAAACGACTAAAAATGCATATTTTTTAGTGTACTTGCATCTCATAAATTATGTGGTTGCGGGAAATTACATGAGTTTTTATAGTGAATTATGCTCATTACGTGCATTCTTATGTGTAGGAGCAAGTTGGACGAAGAATGAGCAAAAGAAGTTAATTCGGGACCAAGAGACAAAAGAATAACTTTGCTTGTTCACTCTCGTGTGTACACGAGAGAGTGAACGAGCTAGCTGAGGAAAGCTTGAACAAAATAGTGAATTAAGGCAAAAAGGCATGGAAGTGCACGAGAGATCTAGAAGGAAAAGAAAAAGAGAATAACTTCGCTCGTTCACTCTCGCGTGCGTATGAGAGAGTGAACGAGCTAACCTAAAAAGGTTGTTCCGAAGTGGGCTTGTATTATTTCATACCATGCAAAACCTATCACATATAAATAGTCCTTAAACTCATTTTAGGAGGGAGATTTGACCTAAGGAGGCAAGAACACGCTAGGAGCAAGACGGAAAAATCTTCTACGAGTTTTTCACTTTTTTCTTCCAATTTTCCATTAGTGGTTATGAATTTTAGTATTGTAGTTTTACATACTATATCGAATAGCTAATTTGTTATCTAGGGTTTTGATGGAACTTTTTGTATGATAAATTCTTATTTTGTTTTTATATAATTGAGTCGTTGATTTTCTCTACTTGTTCAATTACGTGTTTATTGTTGTTGATTGAATGACCATCAATTGACTGTGCCTATTTAGTGTGTATTACTTGAAAAAGGCTACACATTTAGGTAGTTATTGAACAAGATCACTCCTAACGTATGTGAGGAATCAATACAGAGGGTTTAAAGGTGGGATTAGGAATAACGAAATATTGGTGTGATCTTAGTGAGCGGTGAACTAGTGCCAACTGGCGTAGTTTGAAAGAATACGTCTAGTAAACTGTGATAGTTGCTCGAAAGAGAATTACGACACCCAAAGTACTCACGATCGGTAGAGAATACTTAGGCGATATTATAGGAGTCGTAGCAGGAAGGTTTCCGATAATTGGAAAAATCATAACTCTAGGCCTCCTTAATCTTGTCTCCAACCCTTAGCATCTCTAGTTGTTAATTTACTACTTTAATTTGTTAGAAAAAAGAATTTTAATATTTATAACTTAGAAATTGTTCGAACTTATTTTCTTAGTGATAGTGAATAGTTGTAGCTAAACTTTAGTTCTCTGTGGGATTCGACTCTGGACTCTCAAACCGGATTATATTTGCAGTTACCGCTTAGTCCTTTTTATAAAGCATAGTTGGGCGTGATCACATACCTATTGTGATTATGCCAAAATTTTATGGCAATATGATTATTATAGGACAAAAGTAATGAAAGCAACATATCATGCCTATAATGATTTTGACTATGACCATAATGTCATAACTTTCTCCTTGAAAGATATATTTACCATATGGATGTTGATAAATATGTGGTAATACAAAATTAATTGAGAGCTCTGAAAGATCCAATTATACTATTTTGGAGAAATAAAATTGATTATGAATAAGTTATTGTGTCGTAGTAAATCTCAAAAACTTTTATTGAGTTTCTAAAGTATTTGCGAAAATGATTGGTTATATTGAGACTATAAATAAAGGAAATATTTAATATCTTCTATTACTACAACTTGCAACAGGGTAACATGTATGTGAAAAACTACCCGCTTTTGTAACGACCTGATCGATCATTTTGAGATCTAGCACGTCGTTCAGCGGTTTGAGGCCTTGAATAGATTCACTTCATGTATTATGACTTGTACGCGTGGTCGGGGTTGAATTTCGGAAAGTTCAGAGTTGATTCAGAAGGAAAATTCTCAATTCGGAAGCTTTAAGTTGGAAGAGTTGACCAAGGTTTGACTTTTGAGTAAACGACATAGGAATCAAGATTTGAAGGTTCCAATAGGTTCGTATGATGATTTCGTACTTGGGCGTATGTTCGGGTTGACTATCGAGTCGCCAAGGAGCATTTCAGCACTTATTGTGGAAAGTTGGCATTTTGAAGGTTTTAGAATTTCTTAAGTTTGGCTTGAAGTAGATTTTTATGTTATCGATGTCTGTTTGGGATTTTGAGCCTTGGAATAAATTCGTATCGTGATTTTCGACTTATGTGTAAAGTTTGGCATCATTCCGGAATGTTTTGATATGATTCGGACGCGTTCGTCGAAGTTTGGAAGTTTGAAAGTTCAAAGAAGGATTTCAATCATCGATTCATCGTTTTGATATTGTTTAGTGTGATTTAAGGCCTCGAGCAGGTTCACATCATATTTTGGGACTTGTTGGTGTGATTGGACGGGATCCCGGGGGCCTCGGGTGTGTATTAGGATGGTTTCGGGTCATTTCCCCATGTTTTGCTAGTGCTGATGCTGATTCTAGTGTCGTTCATCGCGAACGCGTGGTAGTTATCGCGTTCGTGAAGAAGGATTTTTGGGGAAGGTGGAAATTGCTCATCGTGAATGTGATAGAGAGGTTGCGAACGCTGATAAGATCCTGAAGAACCTACGCGAATGCGACAGGGAGGTCGTGAACGCGGAGAAGGATCGAGAGCTGGGCCTGGAGCCTTTTAGCCTTCGCGAACGCGACACTTCCTACGTGAACGCAAAGGGTAGGGGTCTGTAGGCTTCGCGAATGCAACATGAAGGTCGCAAATGCGTAGAGTAAATTTGGAGGCAATGACTTTTTGCCTTCGCGATCGCGAAGGTGCTCTTGCGATCGTGAAGAAGGACGACCCTGGGCAGATTGTTTAAAATCGGGATTTTGCTCATTTCACTCATTTCTCTCTTGGTTTGGACGATTTTTAGAGAGCTTCAAGGGGAGGACTTTCATCATCTATGGCAAGGTAAGTTATTCTCACCTATTGTAATCAAAATGCATGGATTCTACAAGGATTTAAACATAAAAATTAGTAGAAATTGTGGGATTTTGAAGAAAACCTAGAATTTGATATTTTTAGATTTTTGCCACGAAATTGGACATGGAATTAATAATAAATTATATATTTGAGTTGGTAATGTTATGGGCAGCGAAGTATGAGGAAGGGCATGGCGGAAGGTGTCTCGCACTGGTTGAATCACTTGCAGGTCAAGTATGAAAAATAAATAGAGTTCGGGAAGTTGCTTAAAGGAGATGGTTTAACCGAAGTAAGAGTGGCAGATTAGCATATGGATTTTGTGGCAGGATAGCCGCGTGCTTTGAGAAAGTTTAGAGCGATTTGGGAATCGTGGTAAAAAAATGACTAGGTCTACGGATTGTATTTGGGATGATGGCTACTGTACTGAAGAACATGGAATATGGCAGAAAGGAGTTTGCTTGAAAGGAAGAGAGGTGTGAAAACTTGATTGTCGTTGGGATGCAACATGACTTCGAGTTTAGAATGTATTGTCGCACTTTTAATTGATGTCAATGGGGAATGAACGGACTCGTACAGCTGGTGGGCGAGCATGGTCTCAGGAGAGTTTACTGTATTCGTGGTAGTTGTACCTAGTGCAGCGCCGTTGGAAGATATCGGCATGGAATTCCACGGGTGGGTTATCTTCTGTGAGCAGGTTAGTGATTGCATGATGTTGACGAAGCTTCTGCGAAGAATAATAATTTCTACCCGGTAAGAGGTCGAATATATGATTGTGACTGATGATTCAGAATGTTCATGAAAAGCTTAACAAAAGACTTTGAGAATTTGGCGGGTTAACAGTGCGAGATCATGGTGATTGAGAGAGAGGAATCTTTGTGGGCCCTACATTATGTGATGGTAG